GGACTGGGCCGGGCTGAGCTGAGAGGTGCTGGGACTTCACCCCATGCCCTTGTCACCCGAAGGCCTTGTAGGAGGTGGTGTGGGCCCCTCTAGGCTTTCTGTGGATCTGGGGAGGGATCCAAGAATGTAGACTCTCTTCGCAGGTAGGTTGGTTGGTTTGATGGAGATAAACTTAACCTCACATAACATTCAACATCTCAGCTGCCTGAGGTGTGTGGTTTAGTGGTTTTCAGTGTGCTTGCAGTGTGGTGGTCATCACTGTGCATTGGGACATTCCCATCACCCCCTGACCCCGCCCCCACCAGCAGGCGTGCCCCTAGGCCCCAGCCTTCGACAGCCACTGGTCTGCTGTCTGTGTCTGGAATCGCAGGATGAGGCTTGTGATGAGCGTCAGTTCCTGCTGAGTGTGGTGCCCAACTGTAGCCTGTACCAGTACAGAGAAGGTTGCCATTGCCCCAGGCTGCTGCTGATGCTGCTGGTCTGAAGCACCTGGAGAGCTGGGCCACAAGCCTTCAGTGGCATCCCTGGGACATGAATGGGACAGCTTAGAGCAGGTCTCCCAGCTCTTGTCATTGGTACACGTGATGGTGACACTTGTTTGGACCTAGGGGAAGGGGGCTGAGCCATCCTGGGCCTGATAGCGGTGCGGTGAGCTGCTCTATGTCACTGCACCAGCCCTAAGCCAGGCCCTCAGGTGACCTTCCCCCACACCCCCAGCACAGGGTCGCATGTGATCGGGGTCAGCACGAGGTCTGCCCCCAGGTGCCAGTGAACCCTGGCCTGAGGCGGCCCTCTGCTCCCACCCAGGGGCACCTGGGAGCCTGTGAGGATAGCCTGGGGGTCCCTGCACATCCTCAGCCCCCACAGCGCTGGTGAGTGCCACCCTCTTACATCTGCCCTCCCCCGTGCTGCCCCCGGCCTGCCTGCCTGCCTGCCTTCCCTGCTGGGGTGCCCGTGGGCTCAGGGCTGCCCTCCCAAGGAGGTGGTGCTGTCCTCACAGTTCAAGAGAGAAGCTGCCAACTGCTGGCCAAGGACTTCCCCCACCTGGATGCTGGCCACCTTCGTTTTTAAATTTTTATTGAGATTAAATTGACAGATGTTAACTTTAGTTTTAGGTGTACATGCTAATGACTTGATATATATATATATATATTTTGCAAAATGATTTTTTTCTTGTGATAAGTTTTAAGCACTAAGCAACTTCAGGTATGCAGTACAGTATGGTGTATTTAGTGTGATACATCAGAGGATGGGATGAATGGATGGTATCACTGATGCAATGGTCGTGAACTTGGGCAAACTTTCAGAAATGGTTAGGGACAGGGAGTCCTGGCGTGCTGCAGTCCATGGGGTCACAAAGAGTTGGAGATGACTGGGTGACTGAACAACAGCGTGATACGTCACAGTGCAGTATTACATTGCCCTGGGCCTTCTGGGGCTGCTCCTGTCCCCTTTGGAACACTTGCCCAAGTCCATCCACCTTGGAATCCAGGCCTTTCAGCCCCAGACCAGGCCCCTCCTCTGAGCAGAAGAGAGCACAAAACACTGTGCAGACCCAGGCCTGGAGGTACATACTCGCCAGCTCCTCCGAGCCCTCATCTGCCCCACAGTCCTTCCAGAGAGCTTTGCTCTCCTTGAAAATCACCACAGACAGCACGCATTAACTGTCCTACAGCTCCTGAGCATCAGGGCATCGGATCAGATGCAAGTCCAGCACCACTGAGCCTTGAGAATGTGCTGAGCAACATGCTGGACAGTAAAGCCATGGGGCTGGGCTGGGGAGAGGTATGGAGGGGGCGCCTAGTAGTAGACACAGGGCTTCCTTTGGGGCCATGAGAAAGTTATGGAGCTGGGTAGAGGTGGTGATGGCACATGACCATCACCATTGTGAATGAAGTGAATGCCACTGAGTCGTACTCTTTACAGTGGTTGAACTGGTAAGTATGTGTTACCTATATTTTGCATGAGTTGGTGTTAACCACTCAGTCATGTCTGACCGGCTCTGTGACCCCATGGGCTGTAACCCATCAGGCATCTGTTGGTGGAGTTCTCCATGCAAGAATACTGGAATGGTTTGCCATGCCCTCTTCCAGGGGATCTTCCCAACCCAGAGATGGACCTGGTTGGCTACATTGTAGGCAGATGACAGTGAACAACAGGGAAGCCCTGTATTTTACCACATTAAAAAAGCTTTGAAAAATAAAAAAGCTTCGGTGAGGGATGGATGGGAAGTTTGGGATTAACAAATGCAAACTATTACATGTCTGTATAACTGACTCACTGTTATATAAGCAGAAACTAATGCAACATTGTAAATCAACTATATGCCAATAAAATTTAAAAACCGCAACAAAACAGCCACACAAGGGGAGGTGACCACATGAGAACACCAGAAGGGAGCCTTGCAGGGTACACTTTAGTCTCTGGATCTGTTGTTATTAGTGATAATTCTTTACTGTATTTGCGCTTTTCATCTTTAAGCCTCAAGTCTGATCTTTATCCTTTCTTTGAGTCATTTAAGTCACATAGTCAATATTGGGTTGGCCAAACCAGAATGAACTTGACTGACCAACCCATGCACCACAGAGCAAGTGAGACAAGCTCCCTGACCAGGAGCTGAGCCTGTGCCCCGGGCAGTGGAAGTGTGGAGTCCTAACCACTGGGCTGCCAGGGAATTCCTCCATTGTTGATGCCATCTTCTGGGGTCTTTACATTTGTCGTTCCCATTCTCTTTTTTCCTCCCATTTTTGCCCAATTCCCCCCCCCCCCGGGGATTGGGGGGTTGTGTTAGAATATTTTAACATTCTATTTTTTACTGTTACCTTGGAAATCATAATTCAATTTCTATCTTTTTAAATTTTCTTCGCTGCACATGGGCTCAGTTGTGGCACTCAAGTTTAGTTGCAGGCAGATTATTAACCACTGGACCATCAGATAAGTCCTGCTGTGTGCTTTTTTATATTCTGTGGTTCCCTGCAGATTATTTCAAACCAAGTTGTATTGCATGTGACATCTGCAGTGCCTGCTGGTTTTCATGCAGGTGCCTCGCCCTGTGTGCCTGGTGAGTTTGTCAGCCCTGGCACCTTGTGGCCTGTGAAGTACTTTTTTCTTGGGGGGGGGGGGGATTTGTTTGCATATCAGCATGTGATTTCAATTTATTAGGGAAGCATCTTTTCTTCTCTGCTGAATATCCAGGGTTTTTTTTTCTGTTTTTTCTTTATTTCTTTTTACCAGTACCTGTATTTGGGGAAAGGATAACCCAGTGGGATATCTTTTTAGGGCCCCAGGTTTATCGGAAAGTCACCTTTGGGTATATCACCTTTTACTGGCCCTTTGAACTGTGAGCCTGTAAGGAAAAAGAATTTCAGCTCAAGTTTGCTCATTTTGGCAAATACCTCAGAACCCAGGTGGTTTAGGTGCTGTGACATCTGAGTTCTCACCTTCACTTGGTTATCTGGTCTGAAGATTCCGAGTCCACTTGCTGTTAGAGGGTGGGAAGGGTCTTATCCAGCATTCTTAATTGTCATAAATGAGGGTGTAGATCAGAAACGTGCTTACAACAAACAGGCAGAGCCATGGAGCGTGGTTGGGCCCAGAGGTCTGAGGAGGGGCTGGGTTTATTTGGAGGAAAGAGTCCTCCCATGAAATATCAGAGATAAATGGGCAAAATCTGGGTCAACCTGAGGAAGAATGCTAACCTGGGAAGTGGGTGACCCTCCTCTAGCAGCAAGTGAGGGTGCAGGCTCTCATCTGCTGGTGAAACTCAGGAAAGCAATTTTGGCAGTATTCTCAAAAAGCTAGAAATTACACTTCTGAAGAAATCCCCCAAGGGAATGACGATGTTAGTGCATAGATTTTTAGCTCCAAATACTCAGGGCAAGGTTTTTTGCAAATTAGTTGTAAAAGTGGAAAACATAAGTGAAAAATCATACCTTTCCTGGGATTAGATCAAGTACCTGTCTTCTCTGCCCCTCTGGCCCTGCCTGGGGGGAGCTGCTGCCATCTCTGTGTGTGTTTTAAGTTTCCTCTGATCATGTCAATGTGAAACTGAATATATTCTTATGAGAAATCTCTCCAAATGTGCCGTCACCCCTCTGGTGTGACCACTGTCCCTGGTCACTTAGTGGTCCTCTCTGGTACCCGATGGACTGTCCTAGTGCCACGGCACTCCTGTTCACAGTGACCCTTACTTGACTGAATAGTGGCCTCAGTGCCCAAGAGGAGTTAATGCATGAAAGACCTCAAGTGCTTCCTTCAAGTGAAAAAATATAGAGTTAATAAGGAAAGAAAGAAACGTGCTGAGGTTGCTGAGATATACAGTAAGAACGAATCCTGTATCTGAAATTGTGAAGAAGGAAAAAGAAATTCATGCTGTCAAGCAATGTATATCCGGGACCCACGGGAAGGCATGAGCAGTTTAGGTACAGCAATTGGGAGTCGTTTCCTGAAGTTTCTGCGATGACCGTGATTTATTTCATGAGAAAAAAATTTTAAAGGAAGATGCTCTGAGTTCTGTCTGCTGTGTGGGATAGGGGCAGGGCGCGCTGCAAGCGCCACCTTCTCTGACCAGGTCCAGAGTCTGGCAAAGGCACCTTTGACCCCGAGCTTCCCAGTTGCTCAAAGTGCCCAGCGCATTCCGGAGGTGCAGTTCCGCTCCACCCCGGCAGGGGCGCCCGTCCCTAATTTCTTCGCAAGCTCTCCGGGGCGGTACTAACTAGGTGCAGGTGAGGTGTCCGAAGGCGGCCCCGGGGAAGACGGTTCGGGCGGGGCCCGCTGGGGCCCGTGACGCCCCGTCCCGACCGGCCGGAGCCCCAGCCGACACCTCCAAGTAGCCACGCTCAAGGGCATGGTGAGTTGGAGCTTATCACGTGGGAGCGGAGACCCCGTCCAGACTTCTCGCCTCCCTTTGGGAGGGGCGTCCCATCCCCACTCACACCGCCACCCCACCCTCGTCATGCCCGGGCTGGCTCCCCTAGAAGAGAACACGGGCACAGCTGGGACTCTGTCTGCCGACTTTACTCAAACACAGGAGCCCTCCGCGACCACGCTCCCAATTTGGCCGCTGCTGGGGGCCAGCGCCGAGATCACGTGGCTCAGAAACTTGACCAGTGAGGCGTGCATGTTGGGGCTGAAGTCTCCGGGGTAGTGCCGGGCGAGGGTCACCAGCAGGCAGTGGCACAGCAGCTGCAGGCAGACAGAGTGGTTCCCGCGCGGTGCACCACCCCTTGCCTGGTGGGAGCCCCCTCCCCCGGCGACGGTCGTCGGCCCCGCCCGGGAGCTCACCTTGAAAAAGACCGGGTCCACGCGCAGCTTGTGCGTGTGCAGCTCGCGCAGGGCTGACAGGGTTTGCGGCAGGTCGTCCAGGTGGTTCATGGCCAGGCTCAGCGCCTCAGCCACCTTCTGGCCGTGGGCTCTGACCTGGGCGGAGCCAGGACTCAAGTTTAGGTGGAGGAAGTAGGTCTTGGAGGAAGGGAAGGCCACGAAGATCCTGCGGGGGGAACTGCGAGTGAGGCGCGTCCTGATGGCGGGGCCTGGGGAGGAAAGGCTTCGGGACAGGACGGCGGGGGACGCATCCCCCGAGTGCGCTGAAGACAGGAGAGCCCGGAGCTGCCGGGGCCCGTACGCACCTCTCCAGGGCCTCCGTCGTGTAGATGCCGACGTTGGTCCCGAGCTTCCGCCACAACGCGAACACTGCAGCGCGGTCCGCCGGCGCCAGCACCATCGTGGAGACCCGCTCGGCGTCTCGGTGAAGCCCGGGCTGCGCCTGCGCGCCTCTCGACCTGCTGTCCCCTTGGCCTCCGGAGGGCGCCGGACCTCTGGTGGCAGAATCTGGCCGGGAGGGGTCTAGGAGCTCTCCACGGAGCGTTAGCTCTGACCTGGGGCCTTCCCAATCTCCCTGGACCCTGAAAGTCCTATTTTTGGAAACTAATGTTTAGTATGTGTCAATATTAAGTGGCCCTGCATTTTAGCATGGAGTTTGTCATTGAACGTCAGTCTGTTTTCTCATTTATGGTGTATAAAGAAGGTAACAGTTTCTTCTTCCCAAGGTTGTTCCTGGTTCATTGCAGATGTCCTGAAAAGTCAGGACAATGAGCATTCACATAGTAGCTAGGATAGATCCTAAAAATGATAACCGATACCTATAAAGCACTCATTCTGTGCCAGGCATCACTATGCATCCTTTTTAAAAATGCATTGAAATTCACATAAAATTTACTGTCTTAGCCATTTAAGGTATACAATTCAGTGTCTTTAACTATATTCACACTATGTGTTACCATCACCACTAATTCCAGAACTTTCTCATCATCCCAAATAGAAATCTAGTTGGTGCTAATGGTTAAGAATCCACCTGCCAATGCAGGAGACTTAAGAGACATGAGTGTTGAGAACACAAGGGTTTGATCGCTGGGTCAGGATGATCCTCTGAAGGAGGGCATGGCAACCCATTCCAGTATTCTTGCCGGGAGAATCCCATGGACAGAGGAATCTGGAGGGCTGTGGTCCATAGGATCACAAACAGTTGGACACAACTGAAGTGACCTAGCACAGTACAGGATAGATCCCCCAAATAATAACTCATACCCATGTAGCACTCATTCTGTGCCAGGGATCACTATACCTCCTTTAAAAAAATGCATTGAAATTCGAATAACAAAGTTTACTGTCTCAGCCATTTTCAGGTGTACAATACAGTGACTTTAATCATAGTCACTGTGTGACCATCACCACTGTCTAATCCAGAACTTTTTCATCATCCCAAACAGAAACGCTGTCCCCTTCAGCGGTCAGTCCATGACCTCTGCCCTCCAGGCCCTGGACATCACCAGTCTGCTCTTGGCCTCTGTGAATTTGCCTGTTCTGGACATTTCATGTGAATAGAATCATGCAGTACATGGTCTTTTGTGTTTGCAGCATGTATTTGCACTTCATTGCTTGTTATGGCTGGATAACACTTCATTGTCTGTTTAGATCACATTTTGTCTGTTCTCTCATACTCTTGATGGACATTTGGGTTGTTTCCACTTTTAGTCCAGGCTCTCATTTTGCCTAATAATAGAGTAAGGAAGACTGCCTCTTACTGAGAGCTCCTATGCTAAAAGCAGGGCACATTGAGGCAGGAAACCTGCCATCCATTTTTTAACGATGACTCTTGGGCCCAGGGAAGGAAGAACACTGTTCCCAGCTAAAAGCTTGGGGCTGGACCACTGCCAGGACTGGACACCTCAAGCCGCAGGTGCTAGGGGCATTCTCCACGGGAAGAAAGCACCTCACTTCTGAGTTTAGGCTCCCTTGCCCTGGCTCTCCTCTCCACAGCAGCGCGGGGGCAGGGGTGGTGTCAGTGGGCCTCAGGGCAGTGCAGTGGATCCTGAGTTGGGCCCCCCACATCAGGCCTTCAGACCCTCAGTGGCCCAGTGGGTGTCCTGGGGGGGTGTACCAGGTGACAGAGGTGCCTCCAGGACCTGGCCTGGTTCTACAATGGCACTACGCACCCCTAGTTTCCTCTAGACACTTGGTGGGGAGAGAGGGACCCAGATGACTTCTGTGTTCTCCCCACCACCCAGCTCTGGGAGCAGCTGGGGAGAGCTCCAAGTCCTGCCTGGAGGTCTGCCAACAAATTGATTATTTGAGTAAACTCCGTGATGAATATGCAAGGCTCTGGAATGAATTCAGGGAAGGGCGACTGTACTCAGAAATCACTCCAGGTTGAGGGTGAGGGCTGCCCAGAGAATCCCAGGCAGTGGCCGTGGGACGGGCTCCACCCACACTCCTCTGTCCTGTTTTCCCCTTCTCTCTCTCTGCCTGAGACTCCTTGGTCCTAGGCAATGAGAACCACCCCCGCCGGTTCGCGGACACAGAGACCCGAGGCTACAGACACTGCAGCCCACTCAGACTTTATTCAAAGATCAGGAGGTGAGAGTGCGCAGAGCGCAAGGGGGCTCCAGGCCAGGGTGGGGGTCGCCGAGGCTCCAGCTTAACGGTATTTGGAGGTCAGCACGGTGCTCACGTTGGCCAAGAACTTGTCCAGGGAGGCGTGGACCGCGGGGGTGAAATCATTGGGGAGGTGGGAGGCCAGGGTCACCAGCAGGGTGTGGCTCAGAAGCTGCCGAGAGAGGAGACGTCAGGGGGGCGGGGGCTGGGTGGGGGCGCCGCCGCATTCTCTGCCCCGCTAGCCCAGATCTGTCCCGGCCCGGCCCGCGAGCTCACCTTGAAGTTGACCGGGTCCACACGCAGCTTGTGAGCGTGCAGGTCACTCAGATCAGACAGGGTACCGGGCAGATCGTCCAGGTGGCCCACCGCTTTGGTCAGTGCGTTGGCCACCTTCTCGCCGTGGGCCTTGACCTGGGCGGAGCCGTGGCTCAGGTCAAAGTGGGGGAAGTAGGTCTTGGTGGTGGGGAAGCTCAGGAACATCCTGGGTGAAGAGGCAGGAGAACCGGGCTTAGGCTGGGCGGCCCGGGACAAGGACGCGCCCCGGCGTGCGGCCCGATCCCCGCGGGGCAGGTGCGGTGCTCACCTCTCCAGGGCCTCTGCGCCATAAGCTGGAGCGTTGCCGCCAACCTTGCCCCAGGCGGCCTTGACATTGGACTTGTCGGCGGCAGACAGCACCATGGTGGGTTCTCTCTGAGTCTGGGTCGGGACCAGAAGAGTGCGGGGCGGCGAGTGCGCGAGCCTTTATGCGCCCGGCGCCAGGGGCACGCCCGCCCGCGCTGCGCTCATTGGCTGGCGCGGTGCAGCCGGACCTGGACCAAAGGGGGCGCGCGGCGCCCGACCTGCGCCCGGCAGGGCGGTGGGTGCTTCCCTCACCCATCCACGGAGACCTGGAGACTCTGACCGGGGGTTCTTGCTTCCACCGTCTGCTTCCCGCCCGCTGCGTCCACCTTCCCGGGAAGTGGTAGCCTCGCGCCAGGTGGCGGGGCGGGATTGTGGAGCTGGGTGGGTGCCCGCTCCTGCATCCTCTAAGAGTCTGCCAGCTCCAGGCTGCGCTGTCTTGAGAACGAAATGGAGTAAGTCAGCCCGTGCTACCCGCACCGGACCTAGGCTTGGCACACTCTCGGCACTTTAAACTTGTGCAGTATCAGTGAATGAATGGGCGATTGAGTGCGCCTAGTCCATGCCAGAGGGAGCTGGACATAACACACTTGACTCATCATTCACATGTAATCAGCTAATTCCTCCCCACCCCCACTCCCGTCCAACTCTCCTGTTCCTCTTTAACCTTGGTGCTTCCAGATTCCTTTCTTTCCGCAGAGAGTTTTTGAGTGCAACTGAATGGCAGTCTTGGAAGGAACAGATACTGAGAGTGGGTTACAGAATTTGCAAGGAGCTCCGGATTCAAGTCTCCTCTCCCTGGGTGCTGGTTACTGCAGCCCTGGCCCTTTTAAGGCAAGACTTGAGGAACGTTTCTCAGCCGATGTCTTAAATTCATAATATAGGAAGACCTCCAGCATAGATATAAGGAAAAGACAAATGACTTATGAGAACAATTGACAAAGGATTCTACCAGAAAATTAACAGGAATATGGAAATAAGCGAGACAGAACTGAAAGAATTAGCCAGAAAACAGGTAGAGGAGACACAGATCAGTGAGAAGAGCAAGTTGAAGGAAAAAAATATTTAAGGTAGAATGATATTTTTTGGGGGGGGGGAGGGAAGTACAGTTATAGACATAACTGCATCCCCTCAGCACAGAATAGGAGCCAGTGGGCTCAGTCCCAGACTTTGAACCTTGGCTGTTTCTGCGGGGGTTGGGGAGACAGGATGGATGGATTCTCTTACTCTTTTGAATAACATAAAAAAGGTGCACGTGGTGAAAACATTGTTATTGTTGTTTAGTCGTTCAGTCATGTCCAAGTTTTTTGCGACCCCACGGACTGTAGCCCGCCAGGGCCCTCTGTCCATGGGATTTTCCTGCAAGAATACCGGAGTGGGTTGCCATTTACTCCTCCAGGGGATCTTCTCCACCCACGGATGGAACCTGCGTCTCCTGCTTTGCAGGCAGAATTTGTTTTTTGTTTTTTTTAACCCACTGAGCCGCTGGGGAAGTCCCTTGTGAAAACATAGGTGGATTTTAATTTTTTATTTATTTTTTACATTTAAATAAAAGTGAAGGGGGCTGTGGGACAGTGGAAGAGTGCGTGGTGAGAGGGGAAGTAACTCTTCAGCTGTTAGAGGTCCTTGCCCAGAAAGAACGTGATCATCAGTGGCCCTGCCACCCTCCTCACCTTTTATCCAGTGCAGAGTTGCCCTGAAGATGGGGGCTGGGCTGGAGGCGCTGACTGGGGGTCCCTAAGGGCTACAGGGTGGGTGGGGTGTTCGAGGTTCCAGTGTGGAGTCCAGGGGCCTTTCTGAAGGTTGCTCACAGGACCAAGGCAGAACTGCCAGGAGACCCCAGGAGCCTGGATGGGGGGAGGGGGCTTAGAGGCCGGGGAACGCAGGGCTGGGTGCACGGTGAGCTTCGCAGACTACAGCGACAAGGGAGCGAGGAGCCTGCTGAAGGCTGCAGTGAGCTCGAGGCCCCTCTTCTCCCTGACTGCCCCTCCCCCACAACGCCTCAGAGAGTTCCCGTGACCCAGGACAGGGTGCCTGGGGCTCGATCCCTGTTCCAACACCCCTTGTCTCTGATAGGGAGGTGGGATCTCCTGAAGGTTGTCCTGCCCCTACTTTTGCACCAGGAAAAGCCTATTTGTGTGGTTTGTTTTTTGTTTTCATCTAACTATGTTTAAGGGGG